GTGACCAGGCAGTTCTGGTGGCCCAGGGTGAGGGAGGATGTACGGGAATATGTACGGGGGGTGCGACCGCTGGCAAAGGGGGGAGCGGGCTGCCCCCACAGGATTGCTGGAACCCTTACCCACGCCGGGAAACCCTGGGAGGTGATATCCATTGATTTTATGACAGATTTGCCCAAGTCCCGGGAAAGACAGCAGTCATGGTAGTGGTCGACCTACTGACAAAAATGTGCCACTTTATAGCTTGCTCACATGCTGTAACGGCAGAGGAAACAGCCCGGTTGTTTGTGGAGCACATATTCCGGCTGCATGGCGCCCCTTGAGGGTTATCTCCGACCGCGGAAAACAATTTACTTCCCGGTTCTGGAGGAAACTCATGAGCTTACTGCAGGTGGAGGTGGGTTTCTCGACGGCGAGACACCCAGAGACCAACGGGCAAGCAGAAAGAGCGAACAGTATACTCCAGCAATACCTACGCTGCTATGTCAGCGAGAGGCAGAAAGATTGGGTAGAAAAAACTAGCGCTGGCTGAATTCGCGTACAACAACGCGGAACACGTGTCCACGGGAATGAGCCCATTCATGGCCAACCATGGGTGTCATCCCAGGGCCTTCCCGGGAGTGGGGAGGAAAGCTGGAGCGTACCCGCCGCAGAGCAGTTTGTGGAAGAAATGGAGGCCCTACACCAGCAACTTAAGATGAACTTGGAGCGGGCCAAGGAAACTTACAAGAGGCAGGCAGACAAGCACCGCAGGAAGGGGAGACCATATGGGTGGGGGACCGGGTGTGGTTGTCCACCCAAGGGCTACCTTTCAAAGGGGGGTGCAAGAAGTTGCAGCCCAGACGGCTGGGACCTTTTGAGGTAACACAGCAAGTTAATCCCGTGGCATTTAAGCTCAGGTTGCCTGATAGCATGAAAATACACCCGGTTTTCCATAGGTCCCTGCTTTCACCGCATAGGGAAGGGCGGGAATTCCAGGGGCAAGAGGGAGAAGTCACCACACACCCGCAGGTAGAAGAAAGGGAACACCACCACAGGGCCACGGAAATACTGGACTCAAGGTGGCAAGGGCGCCGGGTGGAGTATTTGGTAGCGTGGGAAGGGGAACCCAGGTCCGAAGCACGTGGGTCCCCACGGAAGCCGTCGAGGACAGGTATCTGGTGGAGGTATTCCACCACCGGTTCCCGGACAAACCCAAACCCCTGGAGAGATTCTGGGAGGAGCAATTTGGAACCACAGATGAGGAAGAGGTTTTTGAGGGATTTTCTGACTCCGAGGAGGGAGGAGAGGTTTCGGAGGAAGAAGCATCAGACGGGAAGACCACCCCGTTGGTAGGTGGAAGAGCGATTGGGAAGCGGGTTTCGAACCCACGGAAGATGGTGACAGTTCCTTCCGGGGTTTCCCGCCTCCTCGGCCGACGAAGGGGACGAGTTGGTCCCACAGGTCGGCCCAGGGGTGGAGGGGATTCTGGGGGAGGTGGATGTCAGGGAACTGACATCAGAGCGAGAGGCGAAGGGGAGGCTCCTGGATGATGCTGGAGAAGGACCCAGCAGCAGGGGAGAGGCGACTCAGTGGAGGGGAAGCATTTAAGCGCAACACCAGGAACAAAAGTGAGCAGATGGGAAAATCGGAGAGAGGGCTCACGGACTCTTCACTGGAACTCAGTGAGGAGGGGACAGGTCCCCGCTACCCACGCCCACCCTGCGCAGAAGGCTCCCGCGCAGTGAGAGGCGGAGGCGATTGGGTGTCAAACAACTCTTATGTTGGAAGAGATTCAAGAAACGCCCACTGACGGATTCTGCTAGTGACTGAGACAGTCATGATCAGAAGGGGCTGTGCAGTCAGAAAGGTTTAACAAGGCAAATCAGCCTAGAGAGGCACCAGTTTACGCACGAGTAACTCATACTCATTACACCAAGTTAAAGCATTTAAAACAAAGTTTTTGTGTAAGGGTGTGGAACCAAAAGTTCATACCTTCCTAGTGTGTAAAAGTTTAAGCAAACCTCGTCAGATAAATAGATAGCTTTCTTGAGACAGCAGCAGAAGACACCACCTGATATGGAATAAAAGTCTTCAACTTCATATTACTCTTTGTGCTGTCTTATGGTTTATCTTCTTGTAAAACACTGCTAGAAAACAACACTCCAGTTGCTTGTACTCACAATACAATTTCACTAGTGTTCCTACTGCCCTGTAGAGAGAACAACTTGTTAGGTATTTTTGTTTCCCAGCAACTGCTTTTCTGAGGTATGCTGCCTCTCTTACAGGAGATAATGTATAGCCATGCCATGACTGGTAGGGGGGTATATATGGTTGAAGCTGATCTTTCAAGTAACCTGGTCCCAAGTCAGGTTAAAAGGATAATAACCATCACCTTAAATTGGCCGAATAAAGCAGTAGTGCAATATGATCCAACTGCCCAGTTCCATTAGTCATTCTGCAGAATCTGGGCTGTCCTTAAAGCCACGTGCCATATACCATGTCACAAGAGTCTGAATAGGAGGTGAAAGTGGCCAAGCTATCTCAATCTAGGTACGGTTGCTGCTGGCATTTCAGCTGAAGCTGATAGAAAGAAACCACAGAGGTCCCTTTAACCACTAATGACAAAGCTGGGTCAATAACTGACCCCAAGATGTGAACCTGATTCTTTAGATGGAATGCCAACCCTGTTCAGAACAGGTTGATCTCCATTCAGCTGTGTGTATGAATCACCCACCTACAGCACCATCATCTTGCCTGGATTGAGTCTATTCACCTTCATTCAGCCCATTGCCATGCCCAAGCATTGATTCAGGACACCCACAGCCTCCCCTGCATCTGACAGAAAAGAGAGGGAAAGCTGAGTGTCACCCATATACTGGTGATATCTCCACCCACATCTCTAGATGACCTCTCCTGGGAGTTCCCTGTAGATCAGGTGTGGGGAACCTCAGGTCCACAGGCCAAATATTGCCCTGAAGCCTCTTTATCTGGCCCTTGGGACTCTCTCCAGGCCATATCCCTCCCCAGCTACACACTCCTCTCCTCAAACCACCCTCCTCACAGGCCTTGTTTCATACCCTTCATGAGGGTTTCTATCTGGCTGGACTCTGATAATGACTCTGGCTTGCCTGGATAAATGCTAAAGTGGGCTACGTGTGGGTGTACCTACTGTAGAAAGGTAAAAAATTACATTCATTGCTCTGTCTACTTTGGCCTCTCACTCTGCCCAGCACTGGCATGTGGCTCCTGGAATGTTGCAGGAATGTGACCCTCGAGCTGCAAAGGTTTCCCAACAGCAATGTCAACATTATGTAGCTCAAGAGAAAGAACAGAAATCTGCAGGGCCCCAAAGCACAATTGTAAAGGGGGTTGAGCAACAATCCCATCTTATTCAACTCACCCGCTGAGTAGGAGTGGAACGACTGTCAAGTGCTGCCTCTCACAACCAGCTTGGTGAGCCTCTGCAGAGTGGTATAATCAATGGCTTAGAAACCCCTGAGAGGTCCAAAGGAAACAAACAAACAAACAAACAAACAAACAAACACCCACCCACACACCTGCTTTGCCAGCAAAGGTTATCCCATAGGCAGTGGCGTAGCGTGGGTTGTCAGCACCCGGGGCAAGGCAAGTAATTTGCGCCCCCTAACCTGTGGGTTTGCGCCCCCTAACCCTAACCACCAGATGTTGCGCCCGGTGCGGCCGGCCCCCCCCCTGCACCCCCCACGCTACGCCACTGCCCATAGGGCAAACAAGGCAGATTCTATCTCAAAACTAGGCTTATTGTCATTGTTAAGGAGGCAGATTTGGTCTCTGGCTGCTCATGGCTGCTCATGGCTGCTCAATGACTAACTGCAACTTTTCATTGTTTACCACACATACACGAATCTCTCTGAGAGCCAGTGTGGTGTAGTGGTTAAGAGCGGTAGTCACGCAATCTGGGGAACCGGGTTCGCGTCTCCGCTCCTCCACATGCAGCTGCTGGGTGACCTTGGGCTAGTCACACTTCTTTGAAGTCTCTCAGCCCCACTCACCTCACAGAGTGTTTGTTGTGGGGGAGGAAGGGAAAGGAGATTGTTAGCCGCTTTGAGACTCCTGAAGGGGAGTGAAAGGCGGGACATCAAATCCAAACTCTTCTTTTCTCCCCTGCTCACACACATAAGGACTGTTTTCCGAACTCCAAAACTAATTCTAATTCTGAAATGTGTGTTGGGAATGCAGGCAACATTTCAGTAGCTCCACTGCTGGGCAATATGCCTCTGAATACCAACAGCTGAGAATTGCAAGTGGGGCAAGTGGACTCATGTTCTGCTTGCAGGCTTCCCATTGGCATCTGATTAACCACTGTGAGAACCCGATGCCAGGTAAGATGACATTTGAACTGATTCAGCAAAACCCTTCTTAATGCTGATGACTTCTGAAAGAATTGGCAGCCCAGATGCAGTGCCGGATTTACGTATAAGCTAAACAAGCTATAGCTTAGGGCCCCACTCTCTTGGGCCCCCCCAAAAAAATTAAAGGAAAAAACCTGGATGTACATTTCCAAAATATAAGATAAAAAACAAATAAAATAAAACCTACATACAGCAACAGTGTTTTGTGTTGTGTAGGCTTCTATTTTGTTATGTGCAAATGGCTTTAGATACCTATTAGGTCCATAAATTACCATATAGCATATATTCAACAGAAAAAACAGCAACAATTTGTTGTTGACAAAGGACAGCAGGACATGATAAAGGGCCACAATACCTTCAGTAGTTTAGGGCCTCATCAAAACTAAATCTGGCCCTGCCCAGATGTAAAGGACTGCAGTTAACATGCAATGGGAATGCAAAGGCTAGAGATGTTTTCCAGACATCTTCCAGTAATCTTGGTTAAACAGTAACTTTACATTCTGAATGCCTCAGCAGATACAAATTGCAACTGTGGTAATCTATTAACTTTGTTCTGATCAACATTCATCTGTTTGGGCAGATACAGAAAATATTAGTTATCTTGAAGTGCCCATCCCATCAGACACAAAGATGGCCATGAGAAGTAAACATGGGATTGAAATTCTGAACAAGTTGTTGGCGGATGGTGATAAGCTAGCTCCAGAAGATAAGCTATTTACCTATAAAGGGATTTTGTATCCTCTTGCTGTTTGCAAGCTAGAAAATTTCCAAGCTCTTGAAACCTTTGAAGCCAGAATGGATGATGTGATCCTGGTAGGATATCCTAAAACAGGTGAGTAGCCATATTTTCTACCCAACAAAAATGTCTTATGAAAGGCAGTATATGAAGAACATAACCATACATGGAACATATTCAGTATAAATTTTTTTTATAAAGGTGCAGTTACATATAGCCAAGATTTTACGATGAATCTATATAGCCCAACCACGATGAGGAAGGAGTCATGGGAGGAGTACTTATATGACTCTCCTTGTTTATATACTCAAAAAAAATGGAGAACTGTCTGATTTGACTTCACCCCAGATTACACATTCATGTTTGATCATTGATAATTCCATTATTGATCTAGTCAAAATAAAGTCAAGATTAAAAGTTCATTTATAATAGAATGTCCAAAATTCAGAATTGATGCATGGACATCACGACTCTGTTCTCCACATCTTTAGATCATTTGCTTCTCCCCTCTCCCACACCCTGGTGACACTAATGTGCACATGTAGTTTGATAAAACACTTCAACAAAAGCAAAGTTGTTGTGCTTGTACATGCAACTACAGCACAATTTATTTTCTGTGGGGCTGTTACTGTGCCCACATGTCCATTCAAAAAGAGTCTTGACAGAATTGTATGTGCAATTACATCAAGTTTGCTTTTTTGAGATGTCCTCAATGTCAATTTATTCATATATCAACTTATCAGTATCAATTATCATGTAATGTGAAGGGAGCAGGATGACCAATGAACTGAAGCACATATCTGCAATATTCAGAAAGAAAAAAATGGGAACATTGGTGAATTCCTAATGCATTGGTTCCTTTAGAAAGTAAACCAATTGCTTCAACATTCTGGCATCTCAACAAGTCCAATTAATCCAGAACTCCAAAAGATCTCAAGATTTGAGAGAAACCAAAGCCGACCAATTCACCCATCCCTAAGTCACAGTGCTGTAGTCCCCATCTGTCAGTCAGTAGGGGTGACACACGGATATTACCTGTATAACCACAGTCCCTGAGGTTTTCTGGTCCATAACTGCCCATGCTATCATTGGTGAGAAGTCACCAGTAAAGGATACCAGGGGACATTTGTGGGCAGTGTCCTTGAGCAGCAGGGATTTTCATGAGCAAAATATTTAAAAGCAGCATGAAGCCAGAGTGGTCATGTGTGCCAGTCTCAAGTACATACATAAGACATAAGTCATCTGCTTCAGGTACAAATTGGCTTGAAACCATGCTCAGAGGCTTGGAAATCAGAGCTGGGAAATCTACAGAAGAGGAAAAGGAAAGAAGAAAGGCTATTGAAGAGGAATTATCAGTGCCTTCACGCCTTGAGTTTGGAAATCTAGATGCATTCAAGGTTAGTTCATCAGCAATCAGCACATCACTGACCTTGTTTCATCTCTGAAAAGCATTTTAAGCACAGTTGTTGTTTTTGAAAAACACCTATTATTATTATTATTATTATTATTATTCTGCACCCATCATGCTAGGATTCCTCAGATGCTCTGGGCAGCTTACAGGAAATATAAAAACATGTGGGTGACTGTGCTCACAATAAAAGACTTGTATTTATCACATGACGCATATTCAATTTTCTCCAGAGAAATGGTAGCTATGCCTGAAAGCGATAATTTGTGAAGGGCCCTTTGTATGTTGTCAACACTTAGGAACTGAGCAGGCAAGGAATTTAATAAATAGAATAAAAATACTCCAATGAAAGATCTAGAATGAAATGTTTCTGTTACATGCAATTTACAAGGTAGTGAAGAAAGGAATGGATTGACCACAGTGCTTATTTCCTATCTTATTTAAGAGGATGACGAAATTACCTTCCAGAAGGATCATAGTAACTCATCTCCCTCCTCATTTATTACCCAAATCTATTTTCAAAAGTAAAGCCAAGGTGAGTACATACATCTTATAGTCTTTCAGCTATAATTCCTTTACAGCAGCATTCACTTAAATGTTATTTCAGAGCATTATGAGCACATTCTTAAAGCGTGATTTATCGGCAAATAAATGTGGGAAATTGTTGGCCTGGCAAATGAAAAAAAGACAAAAATTCAATACTATCACGAATTTGGAAGTGGAAGGAAAAAATATACAGAACTCAGTGGAGATTAGGAAGTGTTTCCGGAGGTATTTCAAACAACTTTATACACAGGAGAAGCAGAAAGAAATGGACATTGATCGATTTTTGAAAATAAATGGACTACACAAAATCTCTCAGGAAAAACAACTAATGTCGAACTACAAAACAACGGACCAGGAGGTGGAAGGGGCTATCCAGAACATGCAATTAGGTAAATCTCCAGGACCAGATGGTTTGACTTCAAGATATTACAGATCTTTGAAAGATTGGTTAATACAACCATTGAAGGAAGTCTGTAATGAAATTTTGGAAGGAAGAAAGGCACCAGAGTCGTGGAAGGAAGCTTACATTACACTTATACCGAAAACAGAGACTGAAAAGACACAGCTCAAAAACTACCGCCCCATATCGCTGCTAAACGTGGATTATAAAATTTTTGCAGACATTTTGGCCAAAAGATTAAAAAAGGTGTTAGTAGAAGAAATTCATAAAGATCAAGCGGGCTTTCTCCCGGGCAGACATTTGTCTGACAATATGAGGAATATAATTAATATTTTAGAAAAACTTCAAGTGAATATTAATACTAAGGCTGTCTTGATATTTGTGGATGCAGAGAAAGCCTTTGACAACATTTCCTGGAGCTTTATGAAGAAGAATCTACAGGGGATGGGGGTAGGTCAAGGTTTTGAAAATGGTATAGGTGCAATTTACTCAGAACAAAAGGCAAAATTAATTGTGAACAATGTAGTGACAGAAGAGTTTAAGATTGAGAAAGGGACACGACAAGGTTGCCCAATTTCTCCACTGCTTTTTATATCGGTCCTTGAGGTTTTGTTAAATATGATAAGAAAGGACCAAAGGTATACAAAGGTATACAAGTGGGAGTTAAACAGTATAAACTGAAAGCATTTGCTGATGATTTAGTATTGACCCTACAGGAACCAGAATCTAGTACAAAAAGGGTATTGGAACTGATTCAAGAATTTGGGCAAGTAGCAGGTTTTAAGCTGAATAAGATGAAAACTAAGGTCTTAGAGAAAAATTTAACTGCAAATGAGAGAGAGAAATTCCAGGAAGAGACAGGACTAACATTGGTTAAGAAAGTGAAATATTTTTTTTTATAAGATATTTATTAAGGTTTTCAGAATATTACAAGACAAAAAAAGAAAAAAAAGAAAAAAGAAAAATACAAAATAAAAACAGTTAAAAACAATTCATTCCTTCCATTACTTAGCCTTCATTTGCTTATTTCCAGGACCTCCTCACACCTCCCTTTTTTGTATTCCAATTTAGTTATTAGTTCAACAAATCCCTCCCCTCTTTATGTATCCTAATCGTTAATCATAAAGTATTTGTAATTTTAAATTTTTACCTATTAATAAACCATTTTTTTTTCATATTCCCTTATAACATTTTGGCTAAAGACCACTTAGTTTCTATCTGACATCATTCTGACATTCATTAATTTTGCAATATTTCTGTAAATAGTCTATAAACTTTTTCCAATCTTCCAATCCAAGTATTGGAAGACACAAGATTTGCTCACCCGGGAAGAATGGCAGATGAAGTTGATGGACTACATGGAACTGGCAGAAATGACTTGCAGAATCCGGGACCAGGGAGAAGAGTTGGTGGAAGAAGATTGGAAAAAATTTAAAGACTATTTACAGAAATACTGTAAAATTAATGAATGTTAGAAAAATGTTGGAATGAAGTTATATGGCTTTAGTAGAAATTAAAGGAAAAATAAGGTTAGAATGAGTTAAGATAATTATAGGATAGAAAACAGAGGAAGATGGAAAGGAATTGCTGAAATAATTAACAGAAGTGGAATACAAAAAGGGAGGTGTGAGGAGGTCGTGGAAATAAGTGAATGAAAGATGGGATAATGAAATTGTTTGATTTATTTTATTGTCTTTGTCTTGTTTTGTTAATTTGATGTGTTGAATTTTATTGTTTTTCTTTTTCTTTTTAGTGTTTAAGTTTTTGGAAAAATAATAAATATTATTTTTTAAAAAATCAAAAAATCTTTGTGTTTCAGATACTGGTGCTGATTCGGAATCCAAAGGATACAATGGTGTCTTATTTTCATTTTAACAATAACCTTTCTGTCCTTCCTAATTCAACATGGGATGCATATTTCACAGATTTTATGGATGGAAAAGGTATCCTTCTTATTTTGAAAAAAAATCATGCAAGAGTAGTTCACAGGATGGGAAGAGGTCCTGCATCTGCCCCCCCCCCCATTCTGATGTCCAGGTGGCAGCAGAAGCTGGGAGTGTTAACCTTTGGTTAATATGCCCACTGAATCCTTTCCTAGGGACTTAGGACCTAGACACTGTCATGAATGCTATGGCAACCTGTTGACTTGACTACTGTAATGTGCTTTAGCTGGGGTTGCCTTTGAAAATAGGCCAGCATCTTCCATCTGTCCAGAATCTAGCAGCATGACTCGTGATAGTGGACCTTCATGAGCTGTGCTGTTCCCCAATTTGTATCTAGGCTAATTTCAAAGTGCTGGTTTCAACATTTAAAATCCTACACGCAGGCACATGCATTCTTAAACATCAGTGTCCGCATGCATGGGAAAGCAGATCCAATGAGCGTTCCCACATGTGTGTATGCAGGTGAGTTTATGTGAGTACGCTAGCAGAGAGCCTGCTAAGTGTTAAAATGTTGATATGCAGCTTTCTTCTTTTTATCCAGTGTGTTGGGGCTCCTACTTTGACCATGTCTCAGAATGGGACAAGTACATTGATGATGAAAATGTCATGGGCATATGTTACGAGGAACTTAAGGAGGTGAGGTTAACATTAGCCCCAGGGATATCAAAACTAGGTTTCTTTGTGAAATGCTGTCGAAGAGATAAATGCACAAGGACACTTTATACGTGTCCTGTCTGTGAGGAGTGCGTACGGACTGTTAGGATCGTCCTACTCTCGTGTAGGACCCTGGTAGAGACACATGCCCAACTGGCATGTTCTCTCCCTCCTGGTCTGTTGTTCGGGAGCTTCCAAAGTTTCTTCAGCCCAAACATCACAGTGACTGATACCAAGAAGCATCAACACACTTAGGGATCCACAGAGTATTCACAGTTTGCGTAACAGAACTCAGTGGCACAGCATTTTGGCTAATCCACTTTCTGGAACACAGTAATACCAAAACATCCTGTCTCCGTCACTTCCCACTCTGGAATGAAAACATATACTGTCATGTGATAGACAACAATCCCATGACTACAAACACGGAGCAGGAATCCGAACACGGACATGCCATTTCATGCCTGACCGTTTCCTGAAATGCTCATAACACAGTTGTTGTGTAGGCTCGTGGCCTACGCTGGCAGCTAAGCCAAAGAGATGGTTTCTTCTGGCCAGAGTTTTGAGTAATGTTATTTAAAAATATAACAAAAAGAAAGGGAGAAAACATTGCCAGCTGACATACAAAAATAGTAATCCATCAATCCTAATTTAAACATATAGCTTCATATGTCCATATGCCTAAATAGGTATTTAAATGAGATTGACAAAAGGGTAGTGAAATCTTTGGACTACTGAGTAGTAGTTGATGTTGAGACACATTACTTTTGCCCCACTATAGGTGTAATGTTTTGACATATGCAATATGTTATCTCTTGGTTTTTTGGGGGGGAAAGATCAACATTCAGAATTGCAAAAAAAAAAAAAAAAAGAAGAAGGGGGGGAGCTGACTTCTTTGGGTTGGTCTCCACCTTCAGTGTAGGGTTAGAACTTTTATATTTTTAAATTATTTTATGGGCATATAACAAAAGGAAAGGGGGGGGGGAAGCCAGCCGACATGTACAATAAAAATTAACCCATCAATCCTAATTCAAGCATATAGCTTTATATGTCCATATGCCTAAATAGGTATTTAAATCAGATTAACAAAAGGGTAGTAGTAGTAGTAGTAGTAGTAGTAGTAGTAGTAATAACAGGCCCATCAGACCTGTAGTAGTAGATGGTACTAAGTTAATTTAACAGACATATTACTTTTGCCCCACTATAGATGTAATCAGTGCTTTTTTATTGAAAAAGGTGTCAGTACTCACCAGCAAGCAGGGGGAGGAGCCAGTGTGGGGTGTGTGGCCTGATGCCAAGTCTGGGCGGTGAGGGCGGAGTAGCTGCTTGATGCTCCCTTATCCACCCACCCACCTACCAGGGCGCTGCTGCTTGGGTGAAGAAGCCTCCCTTGCCTGACTTTGGGAAGGAGACAGCAGGCCTCCAGGATCCTGTCAGAGCATTGTGCCTCCTTGTCCTAAGCTGGACAAATGCTTCCGAGAGCCCTCGTGCCACCTCCCCCCCCAAAAAAGGTGGCAGTACTACGTACTGTTACGTACAGCTAGAATGAAAGGACTGAATATACTGTTTTGACATGTTATCTCTTGTTTTTGGGGGGAAAGGATCCAAATTTAGGATTGCAAAAAATCGCTAAATTCTTTGGCTTTTCCGTGAACGAAGAAGAAATTGAAAGTGTTGTAGAAAATTGCCGTTTCAAAGCTATGAAGCAAAAATCTGCTGAAACTCATGGAACATTTGGAGATGTTCTTTTCCGCAAAGGTAAATTTCTAGGGTGGGGTGGGGGTTGATAAGGTTATTCACCAATAGTTGCCTGCTAAGTGATCACAACTATGTATAGGTACTTATCAATTTATTTTTTGCGTAAGCTTCTTAAAGGTAGGGATGCCACAAAGGGTTGCAAAGTTTAGTTTTCAGTCCAGACCTGTGATTTCAAGGCATATAAGTTCTTCTTCTGGTTTTTTATTTATCATTCAAGAACACAGGGTATGGGATTAGGAATCTGTATTTGATTCTATAAAATCAGCCCAGAAGTTGTTGAGGATTATGATGGAGAAAAAGCTGCCATCATCATGTCTCTGGTATCAACATGCAGCAACCTTGGGAACTTGCTCATGCCCCATTGGGACCCCTTTCTAATGCCTGCTCTGGACTCTCCTGTCCACATATTTCCCCCCAGTAGTAGACAGCGCAAAGCAACTGGGAGCCACCACTTAGATTTCCCACAATGATTTGATTCTGCCCCCTGTTTCCAAGAGCTAAGAGGGCACCCATGGTATATGGGGGACTTGGCATGGGAGGGATCCATCAGAAGGAACTATACCAAGGTCCCCCTCACACCATCAGGCACTCCTGTCTTTTGTGTTTCCTACATTGTTGTCAGAAGTAGATAAATTGGATAATACATTTTAAAAGAGAAACATGTGGTGATTTTTCAAATATCAGTTGGACATACATCCCACAAGAGCTGGTTGGAGAGTGTGGAATAGGATGTATCTGAGTCCTACTTTACAGAAGACAGTGATCTATTTTTAAGAGCTGTTTCTAGTCGTTCTCTAGCTAAACGTGTCCTCTGTTTGAGGGCTGTCCAGTCCAAGGTTGGCAAGTCACTTGGGGTATTCCTCAATCTGGTGAGATGTATTTCTATTTAAATGCATGCAAATCCACTTTTTTTGACTTTGCATGACTGTCTACTCTATTGTCAAGCGAGAACCAATTCACTGACCTCTTTTCAAGTTAATTTTGACTTAGTTGTAATTAACAGCTCCTGTGTGAGAGACTTATGCACGGTGAGTGGTTAATAAATAGCATGTTTCGTAGTAAATCCTAACAGCAGCTGTGTGATGTGTGGCTGAGGAGCAAACGATTATGGTTCCTTTCTGTCAAGGTCAGTTACCTCCTTTAGCCAACAAATTCCAAAGGAGTCAATAGGAGCAGCAGGCTCAGTGGAACAGAGGTGAAGCAACAGCCTTCCAACAGTGGAGCCACTGCTGCTTTGGAGGGGAAGGGAAGGCTAAGCAAGTCACAAGGGTGGGGCTGCACAGGAGCAACAGCAGAACACCTATTGCTGCCATCACACAGTATTGACTTCATTGCTGTCTTGGCTTTCCCTTTCCCTTTCCAGCAAGTGGCCATGACACTGCAAATCCACCCCACTGAAGAGACCCCAGTTTAATAAAATACCTTCTGAATATATGTTAAAACTAGTCATTTATCTTAAATGTTTGCAGGATCTGTCGGTGACTGGAAAAGCCTTTTCTCTGAATCTCAGAGCCAAGAAGTGGACAGAAGATTTAAAGAGTGTTTAGCCGAAAGCAAACTAGGAGCAAAGATGAAATATGAGGTTTACTGCAAGATCTGAGGAGGCAACCTATATTTGAAGGGCTGCCAGCCTCCTCCATGGTCTCCTGAAATACAATTAGCTTTGTCTCTTTCTGTGTACCTGTACAGAACATTGAGGAAGCCATAATGTTTCCTGTGTCTTGCAATTCCAGCAGTTTTGATATTTAAGCAGGTTGACCTGATTAAATAATGGATGCTTGAGGAATTTGTTCTTGGTGGATCTTAATTCAAACTGACTTGATCTCTGTGCATGGACTATTGTATAAAAATTGGTTATCCTTCAGATTTCGCATTTAACTGAATTTTGCAAAGCAGCTCTCAGTTAAAACTGTGAGGTGAGCGTGTGGAATCCATTTTGCAGCTCCAGTGACGCAGCATGGCTCCTGACAGCCCTGCTTCTGTGCGTCATGTTCCTCCATGCATGCAGTGGGCAATCTTCTTCCTCTCTAGGGGCACCCCACCTGTGTTACTAGTCCAGCATGGTCCACTCAACACTATTGAAAAAATTCTTGCTCTGTAGCTCCAAGTGGGGCTAGGTGGGTCTCAAGTTGCTAAACCTTCTCTTCCAGCAAGGCAACCAGTTTGCAGTTGCCACAAGTGTACTTTTGCATGCTCTCTGGGAGGAAGACAAACATGGCACAGGTGTTGCATGTCTCTGCAGCAGCTTCCTCACCTCTCATGTCTCTTGGTTCTATGCATACCTTGAGACAGCACCAAGGGCCTTCCCTGCTCAACACCCTCACAAATTCCCCTGTTTACGAGTCCTGGTCACCAGCTCTGGTCATAAGCTCTCAGAAGCTGCAGTCAGCTCAGTTTAACTGGTGCTAACTCCTTCCCCACTCACTTCCTCATTCTCAGAGCCTGAGGTGCTAAACTTTGAAGGGTGGCATTTGGTCGCAGAACGCCAAGATAAGGCATTTAAAGCAAAGCTTTTACGTAAGGGTGTGGCCACAGTAGTTCATACTACTGTGTGCAATAGTTTAAGCAAACTTAGCCAGAGAAATAAATAGCTCTCTTAAGACAAAAACAGAAGAAACTAGCTGATATGGGATGAAGGTTATCAACTGTGTATGGCTCATTGTTTATCTTCTTGTAAAATGCTGTTGGAAAATAACACTATTTTACAAACCATTGGAAGTGGTGGTCTAAAATCATTTATTTGCACTGCTATAATTTCAATCAACGGACATATACATGGTATTATGGCTACTGTACGACTTACCGACACTTTTCATTGTTTACCACACTTACTAATGAGTCTCTCTCGCCCGCTTCACACACACAATGCCTGTTTTCTGAACATACTGAACCAATTTCTGTGAGAACCTGATGCTAGGTAAGATGGCTTTTGAACTGATCCAGCAAAACTATTCTTGATGCTGATGACTTCTGAAAGAATCAGAAGCCCAAATGTCAAGGACAGCTGTGAACATGGAATGGGAAATGTAAGGCTAGAGGTACTTTACAGGCATCTTGGTTAAACAGTAACTTTACACTGTGAACTTCATCACCAGATACGAATTGTAATCTTGGTAATATATTAACTTTTTCTGATCAACATAAGTATTAATCTGTTCAGGCAGAATAGTTCAAATCTCAGTCTTCATCAAGTGGCCATCCCATCAGATACAAAGATGACCATGAACAGGAAACGTATTGAAATTCTGGACAAGTTGCTGGCTAATGGTGACAAGCTAGCTCCAGAAGATAAGCTATTTACCTATAAAGGGATTTTGTATCCTCTTGCTGTTTGCAAGCCAGAAAATTTCCAAGCTCTTGAAACCTTTGAAGCCAGAACAGATGATGTGATCCTGGTAGGATATCCTAAAACAGGTGAGTAGCCATCTTTTCCACCCTAACCAAAATGTCTTATGAAAGGCAGTATATGAAGAACATAACCATACATGGAACATATTCTGTATAAAAAACAAATTACATAGGTGCAGTTACATATAGCCAAGGAATCTAAATAGCCCAACCATGATGAGGAAAGAGTCACAGGAGGAGTACTTATATGACTCTCCCTATTTATATACTAAAAAATGGAGAACTGTCTGATTTGGCTTCACCCCCAGACTACACATTCATGTCTGACCATTAATAATTCCATTACTGTCAGGAGGCAGAGGAACCAACCCCCGTGGCAGGTTTCCAGGAATGGATAAGACAAGGAAAAGTTCTTACCACCTGCCTTTTATTCAACATTTACAGAGAGAGGCTTGGAAACGCAGCCTCTTGGAATGATGGCATTGCCCCGAGTAAATCTCTCCTCCCCTTCTCTCCCACTTCCTCATTCGTCATCTATTCTACGGGTGGTCTGAGGCCTCTTGGCTTCTGAGCCCTCCGCTCTCCTACTTTCAAGGCTCACCAGGTTCTGGGAGGGGGGGGGGTCTGGAATGCTTTCTAAAGTCACATGTGGAATAGATTCCCATCCTTATGGTTACATCTCCAGTACTTACTACTGGTTTTTTGTTGTTGCTCATTTTCGCCAATTTTCGCCAATATACATCATTTTTAAAAAAGTTTTCTTTATTTAAATAGCAGGCTGAAAATTTGATATCATATTTCCAAAGATTTTCCCATTTCTCCAATTCTATTGTATATCTGAAGTCTTGGGCCCATTTTGCCATTACATCCTTACATCCTTAACAATTTTGTCTTTTAAATGCCAATTTAATCATAACTTATACATTTTGGATAAATTATTTGTGGTCAGTGTCCTTGAGCAGCAGGGATTTCCATGAGCAAGTTATTAAAAAGAAGCATGAAGCACATACCCCAGACATTTTGCATCTCATTCAGGTACAAACTGGCTTGAAACCATGCTACGTGACTTGGAATTCAGGGCTGGGAAATATACAGAAGAGGAATATAAAAGAAGAATGGCAATTGAAGAGGAATTGGCAGTGCCTCCACGTCTTGAGTTTGAGGATCTAGATGCCATCAAGGTTAGTTCATCAGCAATCAGACCATCACTGACATTAATTAGTCTCTGAAAAGCAGACAGATAGTGTTCATTGTCTAGGAGAACCACTCTTTTAAAAAATGAGTTTAGGAAGCACCAGACCACCTTGAATGGCATGCAGATCTTTGTCACCCAAGGAGCAGACATTTGGATTCCTGTGCTAGAGGGAAATAACACTGGCCTTTCTCCATACATGATGAGCTCATGTCAACCAACAGCACACACTCTTTCCAATCAATTGGGTGTTCAACTTATCTGTTCAACTTACTGCAGAGCCACACCACACATTTAACTTCCCTCAAAGAATCCTGAAAACTATAGTTTGTTACAGTTGGGAACTGTTTGTTTGCTGGGAATTGTAGCTCTGTGAGCTCTGTTACAAATGCACAAATGCACATTGAACATACTTTAAATGTACAGTGGGGGTCTGCCTTAATGCTTTCCCCAGCACATTTTGGTTTTGGGGAAAACCTTTCATGGAGATTTTGCTTATATTTGTGTGTGTGTGTGGGGGGGAATTGCATCACTTTGGGGTGAGGGGAGTAATATTTTGATGAGGTGGCCAGTTTCTGTCTTCTCCCCTATTTTTAACTACAGTCATACCTCAGGATAAATATGCTTCAGGTTGAGCGCTTTCGGGTTCCGCTCCGCGGTGCACCGGAAGTAACGGAGCATGTTACTTCTGGGTTTCGCCACTCGTGGATGTGCAGACGGTCAAAATTCGCATCCTGAGGTACCACTGTATAAGAAGCTGTGGCTTGGTAGCAGTTGCCAGGTGATTACGTAGCGTCATCCTGAGGGGCACAGATGGCCAAGCCAAAGTATTCATGGCCTGATGGACACAGTGTCTCTGAGGCAAGTTTATTTATGTATGAAACGTCAATTCATGGTACAGTCGCATGTATTCCCATCTCTGACATTTATTCTTTTTAGCCTAAAAGTAGATTGAAGACATGGGGCATAATAATAACATGTACCAGGGAGGTACAACCTCACCTGAAGTCATGGAAGAGGGTTTGCAATTTTTGCTTGGTTTAGACTGGAGATGCACTTCCCCCTGCAGATGTTGATTTCACTGTGTCATTTGTATTAACAGCAGCACGAATAAACTGTTATGTAAGCTGAGAAATCTGCCAGTTCCAGAAATCTAGCTCATCATCGTGTTTCTTTTTCCTTTTTCCTGGTCAGTTGGCAGTTTATCCATCATTCTTTAAGACCAGGTTTTTTTAAAAAATAACTGTAAAATACTGATAACTGTGCACAAAATCAAAGAGTTGTATTTACATGACACGTATTCAAAAAATGTCTCCTAGAACAGTGGTAGCTGTGCTTGAAAATCAGAATTGGGAAGAGCCCTTTGTGTGTTATGTAGACATATAGGAACCAAGCAGGCTAGGGATTAAATAAATAAAATAAAAATAGATCTAGTGAAAAATCTGGAAGGAAATGTTTCCATTGCAATCCATACTACAATGTAATGAAGAAATGAACTGATTAAATTCAAAATTGACCACAGTGTTTATTTCCTATCTTATTTAAGAGGATGACGAAATTACCTTCCAGAAGGATCATAGTAACTCATCTCCCTCCTCATTTACTCCCCAAATCTATTTTCAAAAGTAAAGCCAAGGTGAGTACATGCATCTTATAGTATTTCAGCTAAGACTGCGTTACTACAGCATTCACTTAAATGTTATTTGAGAGCATTAAGAGCACAATCTTAAAGCGTGATTTATATCTTTGTGTTTCAGATACTGGTGCTGACTCGGAATCCCAAAGATACAGTGGTGTCTTATTTTCATTTCAACAATAATTTTCCTGGCTTTCCTAATGCAACATGGGATGCATATTTCACAGATTTTATGAATGGACAAGGTATCCTTTTTATTTTACAGCAAATGTAAAAAAAAAACATATGCAAGAGTAGTTCATGGTATGGGAAGAGATTCTGGATCCAGCACCCCATTTTGATATCTAGGTGGAAGCAGAAGCCTAGAGTATGTACTGTCCACTTTGGTTAATATGCCAGCTTCATCCTTTCCCAGAGACTTAGGACCTAAACACAGTCAAGAATGCTATGGAAAGAAGGGAGCCAACTTGAATAAAATATCGGGAGGGGCAGGTAAGCCCTGCCCCGCATAATCAATCTCAGGATGTAGCACACAGACACAATCTGAATGGAAATGTCCATCAACTTTGGGTGGGAACTCAAATATTTTATGGGGGGAGGGTGAAGTATATTAAAATACAATAATTCATCAAATATAAAAAGCGTCCCTAAACAGGGCTGCCTTCAGAGGTCTTCTAAAAATCAGATAGTTGTTTATTTCTTTGACATCTGATGGGAGGGCGTTCCACAGGGTGGGCGCCACTACCAAGAAAGCCCTCTGCCTGGTTCCCTGTAACTTCGCTTCTTGAAGGGCCTTGGCGCTGGACCTCAGTATCCAGACCTAGACCTACATGAGCTGCGCTGTTTGCCAGTACGTATCTAAGCTAATTTCAATGTGCTGGTTTGAACCTTTAAAATCCTATATTGTCAGGGCGGGTATCGGGAGCAGGTCAGCAATAACTCACAATGTGTTGGTGAAGTTAACTCTTTATTCAAAGAGACAAAACAGCTCAGGTCTAGTGAGCACAGCAACTCCTCCCATTAGATCTTGCCCCAATGAGGCAGTTGCAAGGACTAAAGGTTCCCCCGCCTTCCCGCAGCTGCCTAAGACTACTCCTCCCCCAATTCCTTTCCGAGCAATCTGAGGCTCCATCACCTTGCCTGCCTCTACTCTGCCCTCTTCATACCACTGTGGGTTCTGGGAGACCAGGGGGGTACCTAGTTGCAGCAGGAGGGGAAGACCCCCTGGATTCTTCAGCAGCCTGCCTGATCTTTGCCTCTTGACGCCTCTCCTCTCCAGTCTCCACTTCTGCCTCTGATTCTGGACTGCTCTCTGCCCCAGCCTCTTCCTGCTCACTAAACCCTTTCCCCTCTTCAGCTTCCGACACCCCCTCTTCCCAGCCTGCTCCCTCTTTTCCCATTGTCCCACCACCAATCCCCTGGCTCTGAGCTATCATCACTTGGAAACCATCACTCCCTTGGGAACCAGCTGGTGCCTCCCACCACTCCTGTGCATCCAGCCAGTCCATGACAGCCATGCATGTATATGCCTTCTTAAAACATCCATGTCCACATGAATGGGAATGCCAGTCCAATGAGAGTTCCCACATGTGTGCATGCTGGTGAGTTTATGTGTGTATGCTAACAGTGAGCTTAAAGTTCTCAGATAGTTTTTGTGTTAAGGATCTAAGGTGTATGTGTGAATTCTAGGGGGCTCTGGGCATGGAAGAAACCAGGGATGATGCCACAAAAATGGTGAAGATGTTTTGGCGAGCTTATTCTGGTAGGGTACTGGTGGGTCACACATTCTTTCCATTCAGAATGACATAAAATGCTGTGTCTGGATTTGGGAGAAAAGTTGAAAAATAAAGCCACTAGCTTCTGTGCACCAAAAGGAAACCGCTAAGAACCTCTTAAACCCCCACACAAAAAGGAAAAACTGATGAAATGCTCCTCTAGTTTATATAGTTTCTACTTCAATGTGTTTGTTGTGGAAAACAGTGCTGCTTCCCTCAGCAATTCTAATTTGTATAGCTGAATTTGCTTATAATGATAAGCTTTAAAATGTTGATATCATGCAGCTTTCTTCTCCTTTTTATCCAGTGTGTTGGGGCTCCTACTTTGACCATGTCTCAGAATGGGACAAGTACGTTGATGATGAAAATGTCATGGGCATATGTTACGAAGAACTTAAGGAGGTGAGGTTAACATTAGCCCCAGGGATATCAAAACTAGGTTTCTTTGTGAACTGCTGTCGAAGAGATAAATGCACAAGGACACTTTATAGGTGAATGTCCTGTCTGTGATGAGTGCATACAGACTGTAAGGGCCGTCCTATTCTCGTGTAGGACCCTGATAGAGACACATGCCCGACTCGCATGTTCTCTCCATCCTGGTCTGTCATTTGGGAGCTTCCAAAGCTTTCTTCAGCCCGAACACCACAGCGACTGATACCAAGAAGCATCAGAACACTTAGGGATCCACAGAGTATTTGCAGCCAAAACATTCTGTCTCCATCACTTCCCACTCTGTGGAATGAAAACATACACCATCATGTGATAGACAACAATCCCATGACTCCAAACATGGAGCAGGAATCTGAACATGGACATGTCATTACATGTCTGACTGTTTTCTGAAATGCTCATAACACAGATGTTGTGTAGGCTTGTGGCTGGCAGCTAAGCCAAAGAGATGGTTTCTTCTGGCCAGAGTTTTGAAAGCAAAAGCATGTATTAGGCTAGAATACCTCTCAACGGATACCTAGGTCACTCTACACCTGTCCCTATTACAAGGCCAGGAGGAAGCGGGGCTGATACCACAGCTGAAGAACCCACTTGTTTTTTTTTTTTTAAGAATATTTATTCCAATTTTAAGATTACATAGAAAGAAAAAAGCAAAAAAAAGAAAAACAAATCACATACGCCCTACAGAGAAAAAACAACACACGTTACAAAAAATATATATATATATACAAAAGACAAAAAATCACAATGCAAAAATAACAAAAAATCAAATTAAACCATTAAGATCATTTTCCCATTTACTTATTTCCGAGACTTCCTCTCACTTCTCTGCTTTGTATTCTAATTTAAGTCGTATCTCCAGCAAACCCTTCTAACCTTCTTTTCATTAACTTGATTTAACATTCAAAAATATTTAATTCTCCTCTATTTTTTATTTTACACTACATATTTACTTATTTCATTATACTCTGTCTGCCAATACGGTCTAATATTCTTCTCCAACCTTTTCTAACATTCTCTTATATTACAGTATTTCTGAAGATATGTTTTAAATTTTTTCCAATCTTCTTCCGTCGACCCTTCTTCTTGGTCTCGTATTCTGCCGGTCATCTCAGCCAGTTCCATATAGTCTATCACTTTTCTCTGCCATTCTTCTCGGGTAGGCAATTCTTGTGTCTTCCAGTATTTCCCAATGAGTATTCTTGCCGCTGCTGTCGCATACATAAAGAAATTCCTGTCTTCCCTTCGCACCAATTGGCCGACCATGCCCAAGAGGAAGGCCTCTGGTTTCTGCTGAAGAACCCACTTGAGTGAGTTTCTTTTTATATGACATTGGTCTCCACCTTCAGCGTAGAGTTAAAACATCATTTTTATTTTTATATTTTAAAGCAATGTTATTTTAAAATATAACAAAAAGAAAGGGAAAAAACATTGCCAGGTGACATACAAAAAAAAAATCCATCAATCCTAATTTAAACATACAGCTTCATATGTCCATATGCCTAAATAGGTATTTAAATGAGATTGACAAAAGGGTAGTGAAATCTTTGGACTACTGAGTAGTAGATGATGTTGGGTTAATTTAACAGACACATTACTTTTGCTCCACTATAGATGTAATGTTTTTGACATATGCAATATGCTCTCTCTTGTTTATGAAAAAACAAAAGGATCTACAATCAGGATTGCAAAAAATAGCTAAATTCTTTGGGTTTTCCCTGACTGAAGAAGAAATTAAAAGTGTTGCCGAAAAAGGCAGCTTCAAAGCTATGAAGCAGAAATCTGCTGAAACACATGGAGCATTTGGAGATGTTCTTTTCCGCAAAGGTAAATTTCTAGGGTATGGTGGGAGTTAATAAGATTGTTCACCAATAGTTGCCTGCTAAGTGATCACAACTATCTACAGTTACTTATCAAGTTATATTTTGTGTATGTTTTTGTAAAGTAGGGATGCCACAAAGGGTTGCAAGGTTTAATTTTCAGTCCAGACCTGTGATTTCAAGGCAAGTTATCATTCTGTGTTATCATTCAAGAACACAGTGTAAAGGAATAGGAATCCATGTTTGAATGAATAAAATCAGCTCAGAAGTTGTTGAGGTTTGTGATGGAGAAAAGGCTACCATCACCATGTCTCTGGTATCAACATGCAGCATCCTGGGGAACTTCCTCATGCCCCATTGGGACCCCCTTCTAATGCCTGCTCTGGAGTCTCCTGTCCATATATTTTTTCCCCAGTAGTGGACAGCACTGAGCAACTGAGAGCCACCACTTAGATTTCCCACAATGATTTGATTCTGCCCCCTGTTTCCAAGAGCTAAGAGGGCACCCATGGTATATGGGGGACTTGGCATGGGAGGGATCCATCAGAAGGAACTATACCAAGGTCCCCCTCACACCATCAGGCAGTCCTGTCTTTTGTGTCTCCTACTTTGGTGTCAGAAGTAGTTAAATTGGATAATACATTTTAAAAGAGAAACAGGTGGTGATTTTTCAAATATCACTTGGACATACATCCCACAAGAGATGGTTGGAGATTGTGGAATAGGATGTCCCTGAGTCCTACTTTACAGAAGACGGTGATCTATTTTTAATAGCTGTTCCTAGCCGTTCTCTAGCTAAAGGTGTCCTCTGTTTGAGGGCTGTCCAGTCCAAGGTTGGCAAGTCACTCGGGGTATTCCTCAATGTATTTCTATTCAAATGTATGCAAATCCACTTTTTTTGACATTGCATAATTGTCTACCCTATTGTGAAGCGAGAACCAATCCACTATCCTCTTTTAAAGTTAAATTTGATTTACCGTAGTTGCAATGAAAAGTTCCTTTGTAAAAGACTGCCATCACACTGCCATAATTTTGCTGCTGTCTTGGCCGTCTGCTCCCTTTTCAAGCAAGTCACAGTAAGCTGCGTCTGGGAAGCCATTGCTGCAAATCCACCCCACTGAAGAGACTCCAGCTTAATAAAATACCTTCTGAATATACCGTATGTTAAAACTATTCATTTATCTTAAATGTTTGCAGGATCTGTCGGTGACTGGAAAAGCCTGTTCTCAGACTCTCAGAACCAAGAAATGGACAGAAGGTTTGAAGAATGTTTAGCCAAAAGCAAACTAGGAGCAAAGATGAAGTATGAGGTTTACTGCAAGATCTGAGGAGGCAACCTATATTCGAAGGGCTGCCTACCTCCTGCATTGTCTCTTGGAATACAATTAGCTTTGTCACTTTTAATAATAATAATAATAATAATAACAACAACAACAACAACAATAATATATTTATACCCCCACCCTGCCTGGCTGGGTTTCCCCAGCCACTCTGTGTATCAATACATTGATGGAGGCATAATGTTTCCTGTGTCTTGCAATTTCAGCAGTTTTGATATTTAAGTAGGGTGGCCTGTTTAAATTATGGATGCTTGAGGAATTTTTTCTTTGTGGATCTTAATTCAAACTGACTTGATCTCTGCTCATGGACTATTATATGAATCAGAACATAGTTATCCTTCAGATTTTGCTTTTCCCTGAACATTGCAAAGCAGCTTCCAGTTGAAACTATGTTTTATAATGTGTCAGGGACTGGGCAGAGGAGAAATGGTGGAGACCGCCTCCCCAGCCTGACCCTTCCAGAGAAGAGGAAGACAGTTCAGACTTACAGGAGGGGTTTGAGGGAGGTCACAGCTCAGAGGCAGATGAGGGGGAAAGCTGGGAAATAATGGGAGAGGAGGAGGAGGAGGAGGAGGAAGAGGAGGAGGAGGAGAAGGAAGAAGAAGGAGGAGGAGGAGGAGGAGGAGGAGGGGAGCAACAGCTGACTGACTCAGTTTCTTTAGAAAGCATTCTGGATTCCCCCTCCCAGAATCCGGTGAGACTTGAAAGTAGGAGAGCAAAGAGCTCAAAGGCAGAGGGCACTTTTCAGCTTCTGAAGGAGAGACTATGAGATTGACAAATGAGGAACTGGGAGAGACGGAGGGGGTGGAGATTCACTCGGGACGATGCCATTATTCCAAAAGGCTACATTCCCAAGCCTCTCTCTGTGAATATTGAATAAAAGCAGATGTAAAGGACTTTTCCTTGTCTTGTCCGTTCCTGGCAACCTGCCGTGGGGGTTGGTTTCTCTGCCGCCTGACAGAATGCATATTTAAAGAAGAAATGCACTTAGAATGCACATGTTAAGAAGAAATACAATGTATATTTTAAGAGGTCTTCCCCTCACACCCTCCCTTTAGGCAAGCTGTTTTGGAAGTTTATTTGGGGCGCAGGCATAAAGGCGCATATTGCTTTTTCTAAATTAAGCTCACAGTTGCACAAAGAAGATCTACTCTCCCCAATTTATGTATTACAAACTGTACTTGATTTCCCAGGCTATGTTCTGGAGATCAGAATTAGACTCTAATGCACCTGAATGGGCCAGGATAGATACTGATGATCTAGTGCCATTTCAATATAGATAACACTAGAAGAGCCTCCTGGAGCCTCTCTAATCCATCATTGTGTTCTCACCTTGGACAACCAGCTGTAGCAGTCACTTACTCTGGAATTGCTCAATAAAGGTAAAGGTAAAGGGACCTCTGACCATTAGGTCCAGTCGTGGCCGACTCTGGGGTTGTGGCGCTCATCTTGCTTTATTGGCCGAGGGAGCTTCTGGGTCATGTGGCCAGCATGACTAAGCCGCTTCTGGCGAACCAGAGCAGCACACGGAAACACCGTTTACCTTCCCGCCAGAGCGGTACCTATTTATCTACTCACACTTTGAAGTGCTTTCGAACTGCAAGGTTAGCAGGAGCAGGGATTGAGCAACGGGAGCTCACCCCGTCGCAGGGATTCGAACCACCAACCTTCTGATCCGCAAGTCCTAGGCTCTGTGGTTTAACCCACAGCGCCACCTGCATCCCAATTGCTCAATAGTTGCACCCTTTTGGAAAGAAGTTCTGACAAGGATGAAGATGACTTTAAAAACTTCTGTTACCCTGGGAGGCATACAAGCTTTGGACATTCCAGATTTATCAGGGGCCAGAATCTATGGTGTAGTTTAAAAAGGCCACATTAGTTGTGAAATAAATCACAATGCAGAACTGGAAAGCAATTGGAAGTTCATTATTGTTGGCATCCATCTGTCTCAGGAGACAACTGAAGGGTGCACTTTCAGGGTTAAAGTCAAACCATTGGAGAGTGACAGTGTTTTCTGTGGCTGTAGAGACCAATATGGAGGAGATATATTTTGTTGCAGGTTGGGCAGATGAAGGCGTCAAGTTTTGCTGCTACAGGTGCATAATAATAATAATAATAATAATAATAATAATAATAATTTATACCCCGCCCATCTGACTGGGTTTCCCCAGCCACTCTGGGCGTCTTCCAGCAAAATATTAAAATACAATGATTCATCAAATATTAAAAGCTTCCCTAAACAGGGCTGCCTTCAGATGTCTTCTAAAATTCAGATAGTTGTTTATTTCTTTGACATCTAATGGGAGGGCATTCCACAGGGTGGGTGCCACTACCGAGAAGGCCCTCTGCCTGGTTCCCTGTAACCTCACTTCTCACAGGGAGGTAACCACAAGAAGGCCCTCAGAGCTGGACCTCAGTGGGGGGCAGAATGGTGGGGGTGGAGACGCTCCTTCAGATATACTGGGGCGAGGCCATTTAGGGTTTTAAAATATGGTTACCAGATTTTTTTCAATGAATTCGGGGCACTTTTTTTTTTGAAGCTGAGTAGCAACAGGGAGTCAGTAGTGGGGATGGTGAAGCAAAAGACCCTGGGCCCAAGCACACATGCATATTGTATAAAGGTGCAAAGCCCTTCTTTCTCAGAGTTTTTTAAAAACTGGACAATGGCGCGCTGCCCGCCCATAACTCCCGAGCCTTCCCCGATCTCCTCCCCCCTCCCCCTCCCCCTCCCCCCTTCTTTTGACAGATCAGAGGAGGCTCAGGAGTCACAGGTGGGCGGCCGTTGTCCAGGAGGGGCCAGCCTGCTAGTGCAGTTGGCTGTGGCTGGCTTCAGGAGCTGCTTGCTGCTATGGCACAGGAAAAATGACGGGACAGCCAGAGCCAACTGTGCTACCAGGCTGGCTCTGGGCTGCTGAGGCTGCCACTGCCACGTTTCTGGGGACAGATTTGCAAATCCGGGGACATTCCAGGGACGGAATTTGTCCGGGGACAGATTTGCAAATCTGGGGACTGTCCCTGGGAACTGGGGACGTCTGGTAATCCTATTTTAAAGGTCATCACTAACACTTTGAATTGTGCTCGAAAACGTACTGGGTGCCAATGTAGGTCTTTCAGGACTGGTGTTATGCGGTCTTGGCGGCCGCTCCCAGTCACCAGTTTAGCTGCTGCATTCTGGATTAGTTCTAGTTTCTGGGTCATCTTCAAAGGTAGCCCCATGTAAAGCGCATTGCAGTAGTCCAAGCGGGAGATAACCAGAGCATGCACCACTCTGGCGAGACAGTCCACAGGCAGGTAGGGTCTCACCATGGTGTTTCCCCTCTCTGTGCTCCTCCTAATGGTCATTTCATCTCTGGTCAGGTTGCGAAAAACATGACATCAAATTAAAAAAGAAGACACATTCATAGTAACAGGGCAAGAATTCATAGATTCTGCATGTTGGCCTAGTTTACCTGACATGGTAAGCCAAATTTACCAGAATAATGTAGACGTACAAGCTTCCAGGGAGATGCTCACAATGGCTCAGTTCTCTCCTGGTGTTGTCTATTTCCTTAGGAATAAACACATGCAAAAGTGACAAGAACCATGCTGTTTTATTGTAATTATCTTTATGTTGTTTAATAGATTGTTTAAATTTGTTTATTTTTTTTTATGATTGCTTTCCGCACCCCCATGTTTTTAGCTGTTGCTATTTTATCAGAAAGCCACCCTGAGTTCCTAACAGGGGAAAATGTGGAGTGTAAATAAATAAATGAAGAAGACGAAGAAGAAGAAAAAGAGAACCAGAAATAAACTGATTAAAATACCCATCTTTTTAAACCCCCTGGAATCAACAGACTCTTTTCCAGGCCTTCCAGGAGATGCAAGGGAGTGAAAATGGGACCTTCTGAATCCAAATCTGTAGTCCAGCATTAAGTTCTGGCCCCTTAATATAACAGGTGCAAACAAGAAACAAATCAAAATAACAACAGAAAAAATATTCAAAAAATCAGTATTTACTCTACACTGACTGTCAGTCCACCAGGGGGAATATGGAATACAATCATAAACAAAGCCACCAGGTGTCGCCCTTTCACACTGTATGACTAATGGGTGTCCTTTCAAACTTCTTTTTCTGTAAAAGCCAACGAATTAATGATTTGGGTGTTTCATTTTGTTTTAAAGACGCAACCCCTCCCAAAAACTCCAGGGACATGTCCAGAATCTAAAATTAGTCTACCTTTCCGTAGACTGCTAATAGGCAGAGTGAAAACAATTTGAAATAATTTTGATTCCTGTCAAGAATTGCCCAGCATCATATGATGGGCACACAAACTCTCTATTGCTATTCTGCCAGTGCAATGGAATGCAGCAAAAAGGGAAGAAAACAGAACGGCATTGGTCTTGCTGGAGGAACAGCATTATAGTAATTGGGACAAGGAAGCCCCTTCCACTGCTTTTAGGCAGCGTCCAAATTCACAAGGAAACCAGGGTCTCTCGAAGCCTCTGCAATAAATGCCTTTAAAATGCCCACAGGAATAAATTTGCTCCTTCTGCAATGCTGATTGTGTGTGCAAGTAAGTGTGTTAGATATGGACTAAGCTGTCCCCTTTACGTTTTTCTCAGTTTCTCATTTTCCCACTTAAATTTTATTCATCATTGATTCATCAGTTTGCAATTTTTCTTTTACGTCCTAAAAACATTTACCAGCATTTTAGCACTCATAATCACATTTTGGGTTGGGATTTTGCCTAATATACAGATATTTCTGCATGCATTTCTCCCTAGTATTGTGCATTTTTGTATGTCATTTCCACAAATATATGCATTTTAATGCACGCTTCTCTCTACTGTACACTTTTGGGGGGGGGCATTTGATTGGAGACCCGCATCACAAAATCCAGGGAAGTGTAAATGGGGAAGTATACCGTGTGTATTATTCTGGAAAGCGTGGGTGAGGTTGGTTTTCATCAGCATGCAGACCAAACTGAATTTCTTCTGTATCTCACACT